TCATTTATGCCATTTTACTTGTTAAACTTGATGTGATCCTCAATTCTTAATTTTTTTTTTGCTTTCGTTACTTTAAATGTTTGATTTTTTAGTTTAACGAAAATGTATATTTGAAAAATATTAAAGCTTGTTTGTTAACTGGAAATCTTAAAATTGTTTCAGTTTACTCATGTTTACTGTCGGTGCAAATAAACGAAAAAATAGTAGAAAAATTGAAAGATATGAAAGGTTGAAGAATTACGGTTGAAAGAAGAAAAAGAAAAAGCAAAAAAAAAATGAACTTGACTGTTTGATGTAAATAAACTTTTGCAGGTGGTTAACGTGATTATAAAAGTCAGAAGTGTAAACTATTCCTTTTTGTTGTTGCTTTAGTTTGTTTTCAATTTCTTCTTCTTCATCTTCTTCCTCTGTACAGTCACGTGAAATAAATGCATAAACGACAACAGTACTTTAACAATACAATACTTCCAAAAATATACACTTTTTGACATTGCACAATTGAACTGCATACTAAAAAATAGTTATTCTATTTTTAGTACACCCACAAAGCGTTTACATTATACAAATCTGCCACAATTGTTAAAAAAAAATTTTTTTGGCTTAGAATACAAAATAGTTATGTTCACCAATTGTAAATCATCGACTTGGCGTTAAACAGTTTCGACTAGTAAAACTATCAGCTTAGCAGCAAAGTTGGGAGAAGAAAAAACAATCAGTTATACAATTTAATGATTTCGGATGACACGTTAGTCATCGAGCACCGAATAAAGTATAGAACAGCGCATTATATGTATCAAATCAACAGTATCAAATCATCAAAAGTCTATTAGAGAACACCTTAAGAAGCTTATAAAATAATTTATAAAATGTTCCTTAATAATGTATTTCTGATCCAACAATTCTTACAGGAAAATCATTGCACATCACCAATAAAAAGTTGCAAAATTATTGTACGTCAGTACTGCAAATGCTTAGTGTTCCTTAATAAACAAAAAAAATGTGATTAAATTTATGGTGGCATTTGTTAGACGTAGAGAAACCTTTTATGCTTCAATGTTTTGCTAAACAACAATTTTTTTTTTTGATGAACGACTAAGACTGTACTTTTAACTCATAAGAATCTGTTGACATCTTTTTGATGTCATCAGCAAAAGTGGTAGTACTTGACTTTTATCTAATAGCTGTTTAATAGTGTCCTAAATCATTTGCTGATCTCAGCACTATCATAGACCATAACAGTGATGTAGAATTTGGCCACCCAATAAATTTTGGGTACTCAAAAAGTTTACATAGCTCTCTCAAGTTTCTATTAAATTTATCTTCTCTTCCTCATCTTCAAAAAAAAATGTTACAATAACGAATTCTTTGCTGAAAATAAACTAATATTCAGAACTACATAAAATGTTTAAGTATGTAGTATCTTTATTAAGACAGAAATCAATGTTTTTTTGGTTGCTATTGTCACGTAAAAATAATATCTTCTATAAATTTATCACCTCTCTCTCTACAGCAATCAATTATAGTCAAAACAGCAGTATTAATAGCCAATTTAGGCTGGCAGTGCTGAAAATGTCATAAAGTAATTTTGTACAAATGATCAAACTAAGAATTATATGTTCACCTTTTTTTTGTGTATGTAAGAGCCTAAAATAAACCAAATAAGACTGTCAAAATCTGTTAAATTTGTAATAGATTTTCACGTAACTTTTTTTTCTTCTTTTCACAAATATCCTTATTTCATGATTAATCAACAACACAATGAAAAACCAAATAGGAAAAAAAAAGGTTTAGGTAAGGCCTGTTTGACAGCTGTTACACTGGTCAACAGAAGAACCAAAGAATGACAGTGTAGACAGTAAACCATATTTCAATCTGAAGTAACAACCTGTAAACCAAAACAGCATTTGGTACTGCAGTTTTTTGTTTTTGCAAATGATTGTCATTCAACACAAACTTCAGTAGAATTTTCGAAATTGGTTGCTATCATCGTTAGTTGATCGCTGACAACCAGAAATCACTGTAAGATCAGTTGTTAAAAGACTGTTTTCAAACTACAATCCATTGGCCGTGTAAAATTTACATATACAACAAATGACGTATTGTTGTTTTGAAGGTATCAGCAAGAAAAAAAACACAGTTAAACTGAGAAATTTTCATTTTTATCAATGCAATGTATGTTTACTTTGTTGTATCTCATATATTGTACTTAATGCGTCTAAAAACATCTTCGTTATTGGCTTATGAAAGAGACCAAAAAAAAATTTTAAGCAGTTTTTTTTGCAAACAAAGTAAAAAAAAGCTGAATATACACTATAAATATACGGCGGTCCTTAGTTTTACTGCTGTTAAAGCCACAACTGATTTTTGCTCTTTGGATGATGACTAACCACAGTCGACGGCTGCAAACATCAATGGCTTCAAACCTCCTCTAACACGACATTTTAATTTTCCAGCTCCCAAATGCTCTTCTTTCCCATTTTTTTTTTCGTTGGTTACCATCTCTGTTCGGTACCATTCACCTTCTCACCTCAACTACAGAAGCGAATGAGCTATCGGTTTTGAATGACATTGTTTGATTGTTTCTATTACAAACTTGGTGGTCACAGCTTTCCACTATAGTAATGTTTCACTTATTGTGCTACCTACCATACTGACATAGTGTCAAAAGTTTTTCTTTGTTTTCTTTTTTTTTTTTACGATAAAAATATTTACCTTATAGCTTGGTATGGAATGCAGTATTTTGATTTTAGACAGGTAGTAACTGCCAATCTTTATTTTGATTTACTTAGAAAACTGTGAACAAAAAAAAAAAAAAAAAAAAAAA